CGCCCTGGCCTCCCGCACCGCTCCGCTCGGCCCCCCCTCTCGGTCCCACCCGGGCTCCCGCTCGCGGCCCCCGAGAACTCCACGTGCGCAGTCCCCCAGTTCCCCGCCCCGCTCACAGACCCCGCCCCCTACGCCTCCCCTGAGCGCAGATCCCTCCCCGTTGGGGGTCATTCGGCACTGGGGCTCCGCCCTCTCGGGCCTGTTGACGTCTAGCGCCTGCGCATCATCGGGCACCGCCCCCTCCGCGCGCTCCCATTTGGCGGCTGGCGCGCCTCGTAGCGGGGTCGGAGGTCGCGGGGCGGAGCCAGCAGCTGCCGGGCTGCATCCTAGTGCCCGGTGCTGGTCCTCTGCCGGTGCCGGGATGGCCTTAGGCGACTTGCCTGTGGCGGGTGCAGCGGGGGAGGAGGCAGAGGATGAGGCGCTGGCCCGTGGCGCCGCCCTGGAAGCGTTCGGCGAGAGCGAGGAGACCCGCGCGCTGCTCGGCCGCCTGCGGGCGGTGCATGGCGAGCGCGCAGCCCGGGAGGTGGCGGAGGAGCGGTTTCGCGGTGCGGGCCGGACCGGGAGGGCAGGCGAGGGGGGCAGCCCGACCCCGACCCCGACCCCGGCCTCGCCTCGCGTGTCGCTGCGGCGCGCACCCGGGAGCGTGGGCTCCTGCCCCGCCCTGCAGGAGCGGGACAAAGTGCCGCTTTGCGGGGCCTCTGTGTCCCGGGAGGGAGCGGGAGCAGCGGCCAGCGCTGAAGCGGGGAGGACCCGCGCCGAGCGAGGGCGCGTGGCGAGCAGCGCTGGAGCTGGGTTCCTGGTTAGCCTGAGTCCTCCTCGGCCTGCCAGATGAGCCTGCGTCCTTCAGTCAGGGTTTTGCACTTAAGTGAAACCATTTCTTTCTTTCTTGCTTTTCTTCTTCTTTTTCTTCTTCTTTTTTTTTTTTTTTTTGCGGACCCTTTTAGCTAAAGAGGTCTCTGCTGATCCTGTTCTCTTGTCTTCCTTGTTTTGGAATGACGGCAGAGGCAGGTGGTGGATCCCGTGGAAAGAGTGTGGGTTTTGATGACGCAGGCCCTGGGCCTGGGTTCGAGCCCTGTCTCTGTCTCTTGGTCTAGTTATGTCTAGAGTAGCAGTTCTGCTGCTCTAAACTTGCCTTAATGATAAGGCAACAGGTACAGAACTGTTCTGAGAGTGAGATGAATCCAGGGACCCGTGAAGGCCCACCTTCCCATTCCTGGGAAGTGGGCGTTATGGTCAGGCCGCCCTATTAAGAGAAGTCAATGGATTGGGAAAAAGTGGTTTTAGCAGCTGGGGGGGGGGGGTGAACAGCAGGCGTTCTGGGGATAAGGAGCCAGTGGGGTCCTGGGTTGAAGAGTTGGCAGGGATGGGAGAGCACAGTGCATGATATGCTTGGCAGGGGAGCAGGGAATGCTTGGAAGGGGTGACTCTCAGAAGTGGGAAGGGGGGCCCTGGAGGGTGAGTGGGGGGCGGAGTGGGGAGAGACCTGGTTAGGGAGGGTGCATTCAGTGGTGCCAGAAGAGGACCCAAGAGGAGGGTGTGCTGAGCCAGTGACCAGCAGACCATGCCACAGTGGCCTGCTGGAGCATGGTGGATTGCTCACCCCAGGGCCTTGTGTGGCACCTGTCAGAAGTTAGGTGTGCTGGGAGCTGCAAGGGCTCACATGCACGATTGGTGTGTGTGAAAGGGGGAGCTGCCCCAGGGCTCACATGCATGTTTAGTGTGTGGATGGTTAATATTCGTGTTATTTTCTTTTTAGTAATAATGGACAAGTACCAGGAGCAACCTCATCTGTTGGACCCACACCTTGGTAAGCACTGAAACTGATGATTTTGTTGGTTCAGGTACAGGTGACCACAAAGTCCTGTGAATGGTGATGGCTCCTGTGTGTGCTACTCCCAGAAGATACCGGGGTGAAGTGTCCATGGTGCAGGTCTTATTTGCTGGAAGGCCTGGTAGCTAGTTCTAGTGCACCTTTGGTGTGACTTGAAGTCTAGGTCTCACTTTAGATTGTGCACAGATGTGTCTGAGCTGCTTTCTCCTGCTGCTATTTGGGAACACATCTTTTCTTCTTGTGTGTGTTAGTTTGTTAAGTCTGGGCACAGGGTGTCCTGCTGGTAATCATCACACGGGTCCCCATTCCATCCCCATAGCAGCTAAGGAGAGTGTCTGCCATCTCCATTTTTATAGATGGAGACACTGATCCGGACCTGCAGTGAATGTCTTTAAATATTTGACCATTTCATACAGATTAATTTTTTTTCTTTTTGTCCTGGTCCTGAACCTGGGAAGGAGAAGATAGCCCTGGTGACTAGGTTGGAGAGGCAGCAGGGGCAGGTGCCTAGGCTCACATGGGGCTCTGTCACTCAGGGGTTGGTCTGTGGCTGGAGGATGGGGTGTGCAGACCTGTGTGAGAGACGCCCTGTGGTGTGCACATGCTCATGTTGAATTTCTCTTCTCCCAGTGATAGGATTCTCAGGTGGGCCTTGTGAACTCACCTGTTTCAGCCCCCTGTGTCCCGACCTGCAGTTCCCTGAGGATTGACATGCTCTGGGCCTTTCTTCCTAGGTGGAATGTTTGCAGACAGACGGCTGAAGACCTTCTCCTACAGTACAGGGACATCACTCTGTGGTGTTGCGGTCACTGCTGTGCTCCTCTTTCTTTTGTGCTGAGTTAGATGTTGGCTGTCTGTAGTGATCCTTGGGGTCTTAGCTTCTCTCTGAGTCCTCTACTTTTTGGTCTCTTGCACGACAGTGAAGTTCTTTACCTTGTTATTTATTTTTTAAAAAATTTTTTTTCAGTTGAAGATGAACACACAGTATCTTTATTTCTATGTGGTGCTGAGAATTGAATCCAGTGCCTCACATATGGTAGGCAAGCACTCTGCCCCTAAGCTACAACCCCAGACCTATCTTTAGTTCTTTAGAACTGCAGGTTTTTTTCTTTTTGTGGTGCTAAGGAATCAAACCCAGGGCCTAAGCACTATACCAACTGAGCTATGTCGCCAGCCCCGTTATCTTTAGTTTGTTTTTTTTTTAATATTTATTCTTAAGTTTTAGGTGGACACAATATCTTTATTTTACATTTATGTGGTGCTGAGGATCGAACCCAGTGCCTCGATCATGCTAGGCAGGCACTCTACCACTGAGCCAAAACCCAAGCCCATCTTTAGTTCTTGATGACTCTCTTATTGGGCCTCTGGGGCAGCAGAGAGAAACTGTTCCTTATGTATGGGTCATCGGCTCTCTGGGCCCCCAGTGATTGTGCAGGGGTTGTGAGATCTGTCCTAAACTTTCTGAGCCAGGGGGTTGCTTGTGCTCTGCTGATCCCTGAATTCTCTTTCCTTTGGGACAGTGTTGCTCTGAAGGGCTGGTCCTTTCCTTATTTAGGATGGACATGGATGGGCTCCTCACTGCTTCTGTGAGTGAAGTTTCCAGTGTGTTGTAGCAGCAGTGTGAGGGTGGACAGGCATGTTCACTGAGGAGGTAAAGTGGTGGAGGGGTGGCAGTGTGAGGGTGGACGGGCAGATGTCCTGTGAGGTGG